ATGTTGGAGGTTCCATAAATGTAATGTCCCTCTACCTCAAAGCCAAGCCAATTTTACACTGACTCTGAAGTGATGTGGCAGGTTGTCAGTGAGTTATCTGTGTATTTCATTGCACTGTTGCCACAGAAAATATTTTAATTGTAAAGATGATCTGGAGCCAAACAGTAAATCTGAAATATGTCCTGAAGAGAAATCCACAAATGATAAAATCCCAACGCATCTTTCCCACAGGGAAACACTATGGCGTCTACAGCTGTGAGGGATGCAAAGGCTTCTTTAAAAGAACAGTCCGCAAAGATCTCACGTACACATGTCGAGACAACAAGGAGTGCCTGATTGACAAGAGGCAGCGAAACCGCTGCCAGTACTGTCGTTACCAGAAGTGCCTGGCCATGGGCATGAAGAGAGAAGGTGGGCCGAGTCGAAAAACGTGTTGCTCAGAAAAATACTTTTTCAACATAAAACTGAGGGCCTAAGGACGGGAACACAAAATCCTATGTCGCAGTGTTCCATATATCCTATATGTTGTGACATGTGTCTGTGCTTGCAGCGGTGCAGGAAGAGAGGCAGCGTGGGAAAGAGCGGGGGGAGAATGAGGTGGAATCTACCAGTAGTTTCAACGAGGACATGCCTGTGGACAAGATCCTCGATGCTGAGCTGGCCGTGGAGCCAAAAACAGAGACGTACACTGACGGCAGCCCCGGGAACTCGGTAAGACTAATAGACACTACGGCCGGGCACTTTTACCAAAACTTCATTGGTTAACTAAAAAATTCCTAAATGATTGGCTAAACCAAATATACAGTGGATAAAGCAAAGTAAAGTGGATGAACAAAAAAAAAAAAGACATGTAAAAGTCATAAAGGCTAAAATGCTAAAAAGCTTTAAGCCTTTTCTACCCCATCTATGGAGTAATGCGGCATTGCAGGGAAAAGGCAAAAGTATGATGATAATAGAAATAAATAACATAATTTGGACAAGTTTGGCGGGCCGGATTAAAAAGCCAAATGGGAAGTACCAGGCCCCGGGGTCGTAGTTTGCCCATTCCTGCCCTTACCCGAACCTTAGCTGTTTCAAATATATGCCTAATCCTAATCCAGTCTAACACTGAATTAAATCATAAATGTACTAAAAAAAACCTTAAAAATATCCCGCACCTACACCAGGAACAGACATGTACATGTTTGTTGCCTATGTAGTGTACATGTACACGCAACAACACTACTGAATGTGCACTGATAGTGTACATGTACACGCAACAACACTATACTGAATGTTCATTTTAGCACCGGTATCCTTAAAAATCCATTGACTGAATCAGTATACAGTACTGCAGTTTTTCTTGTTTTACTAAATTCCCAATTCTCTTTTATTCTTGGTCAAAAAGTGAAGCCACAGTGTGACTCACACTATTAACCTCATGACAATTAACCTTTAACATATTTCATTTGCTGGAGATGGCCATTAATATTTGCAACACAGAGAAAAGAGCAGTTACAAACTGTTATTCTAATTTGTGTACTCAATAATATCAAATATCATCACAGATACATCTTTAACATGAGATTTAATAAATAAAGAGTTAACTGTTGGACAGTGACGGTGGTACAGCTCTGTGGGTAAAAGGTTGACGTCAGCGTGTCACTGCTGCTGACAACTTCAGTCTGACTGTGGTCTTTGCCATTTTGTAAAAGAAAGTGTCAAGTGCAAACGTAGGATCTGACATCTGCATGTGTCAAACACACACACACACACACTGTCCTGGTGACCACCTGCACTGTCTCATGTACTGCCCGTGCCATAAATCCTGCCACCAAAAGCTCATGTTGTTGAGCCTGGGTGACACTGTACCCACAGTAAATCAACTGTGGCAGCATTTTTGACTGAAAATATCAGCAGCTGCACCTGTTGTCACTGCTGATGGATGGGTTGATATGTCACTATAGAAGAAGCCCATGACCACAGATATCAACTGAATTGTTCTGATTGTCATCTGCTGTCCTCCCCCCCCAGACCAACGACCCAGTCACCAACATTTGCCAAGCAGCAGACAAGCAGCTCTTTACTTTAGTGGAATGGGCAAAAAGAGTCCCGCACTTCTCTGAACTTCCCTTGGATGATCAGGTCATCCTACTACGAGCAGGTTGGTTTTTTTTTTTTTTTTTTAAAAAAGAACGTCTGTCATCTCGTCCAGTGGCGCAGAGGACCCAATATAATTGAACTATTTTCTAAGACCTGGCTTTAGACTTTGTAGTTGTATCAAATGCGACCTCTGCTGGTCACTAACCGTATACACGGGCCTGTTGTTACATTTTTACACTCCTTTGACTGATGTGCTGCTCTTGTTAGATTTTTAGATTTTTAGAAGTTAAAAACACGTTTTAAACGCTTAAAAAATATTATTATTTAGAATTTTTTCCACTGTCCTCTTTGTTTACATTGTTGTTTTTGTTGCTGAGCAGTTGGAAGTCATTAACTAAATTTGAAAACAGCTGCAATTCTTGGCACAGTAAAAAATCAAGAACAACAGCTTTAATTTTCTTTGATATATTTTGATTTCATTTTATATAATTTTACTATTATTTACTTTATCACAGTATTTTCTCTCAGGTAGTGTAATCATCATAAAATAATTCAATGTCTTGTATAAAGTCAGTATTTAATAGCTGGCATAGATAATTCAATGTCTTGTATAAAGTCAGTGAAAAAAGTGAAATTATCCCTGTATGATACTGCATACTATGTGACAATTGTCCTTCAACACAGTCAGGGAAATTATTAGTGCTATATCAGAGGGTTTCCTGTCCAAATAAAAAAGAACCTTGCAAGAAGCAAAGAACACAGAGAGGTGACAGCTGTTTTCTTTCTGTCTCCAGGCTGGAACGAACTGCTCATTGCCTCATTCTCTCATCGCTCAGTCACGGTCAAAGACGGCATCCTGCTGGCCACAGGCCTGCATGTCCACAGGAGCAGTGCCCACAGTGCTGGTGTGGGCTCCATATTTGATAGGTAGGTCAACACAATGATGAACCCTCACCAATAATGTCCAGTATGTCTGATAATTATATACTGATGTGTAATGAGGTGAAACAAATAAACGTCTCTCTCGTGTTTTACTGCAGGGTCTTAACAGAGTTGGTATCTAAAATGAAAGATATGCAAATGGACAAGACGGAGCTGGGCTGTCTTCGAGCCATTGTCCTTTTTAACCCAGGTCAGTGTAGACTGGTTTCGGTTCACCTTCTACTTTCGAGGGGCGGGTGGAGAATATTAGGAAAGTGATCGGGCAAGGGAGGGTACAACCTGGATAGTTCACTTGTCCTTCACTGACAATTCACACTCACACTCATACCTGTGGTCAATTTAGACACAACAACTAATCTGTATGTTTTTGGACGGTGAGGAAACTGGACAACCGTGCACACAGGGAGCAATCCACTCAGAAACACTATCTATGACTTATCACTGTGAAACAAACCTTCCTGCTGCAACACAAGAGCACTTACTGCACTAACTCTGTGTGACCATAGACTGGTTTCACCTTACTATATATAATGGGAAAACACACAAAACATTTCTTAATTCAGCAGTTCTAAGTTTTCATTTCAATGGGCACTTTATAACTTCAGCTGCTTTTGTTACACTCTCAGAATATATTTTTATGTTTGTTTGTGACACTGTGTACGTTGTGGTTCCAGATGCAAAAGGTCTCTCGAATCCACCTGAAGTTGAGGCACTGAGGGAAAAGGTCTACGCTTCACTGGAGTCATATACGAAACAGAAATATCCAGACCAGCCTGGCAGGTGTGGAACACAGTCCACTATGATGAAAATGTTTTTGTTTTTCACTCTGCTTCTGACATTTCAACTGTTTGGCCTGTTTGATTAAACCATTGATAGAGAACATAAATCCTGTACCACTATTCCATTTTATGAGAGTCTAGTTAATTATATTTTTCTGTTCTGTGTGATTCTATTCCCTCCTGTTCCCACATTCTGTGTCATATTCACGTAAAAAAAAAAGATAGTCACTTAACTTTGTGTCATCATTCCCCTCCTTTGCAGGTTTGCTAAACTGCTGCTGCGGCTGCCGGCACTGCGCTCCATCGGCCTCAAGTGTCTGGAGCATCTGTTCTTCTTCAAGCTGATTGGAGACACACCTATCGACACCTTCCTAATGGAGATGCTGGAGGCGCCACATCAGATCACATGACGGCAGTTTCCCCCTTCCCTTTGTATATACTCCCGCATTCTGAGCGAAATGAAGATAGAATGACAAAAAAGACTTGATTTTACTGTAAAACAGCATATTTTGTACCAAGTAAACCATTGTAATTAAAAGTTTTAAAAATATTTTAATGCTGTGGGAGGGGTAACGTGGATCGAGGACAATGTCACACTGAATTCTTATACAATTGTTGACGGATTTATTTTGTAAATAGATAATTTCATGTGTCCATTAAAAAACAATTCAATATTGAAAATTATTTTATTCAAAGAAGATTTCAATAGGAAAAATAAACCATTTGTGCATTTCTTAAAACAGTTTTGAAAATTCACATACAATAAAGTTATTTAAAAATGTATTAAAAACTGCGTTTTTGGGTGTGTGTGAGAGACTGACGTGTGTTGTGGCGAAGTTTTTTTTAATATTCAAAACTACATTCCCAATGTAGTAAAGGTAAACAGACTCGATACAACGAACTCACAATTTGATAGCGATAGCTAAGTTCATTAGCCTTCAATTAGATGCGTAAGAACACCATAAATGTTTAGCAGTTCGCTACTGTTACTCTCCAGTCACGTTTTTAGTTTGTGGCCACTAGATGGAGCATTAGGATTCAAAACTGCAATGTTGGTACTTGCCTTACGTGCATCGACGTTAACCATCAAACACGCTTTCATTTTCCTCATGTGATGTTACAATAATAACAAGAAAAATAAAATATTTCCAAAACCAGATGTTAAATTCAGCGATCCATGATATACAATACATTTGTAAACATTTACCTTAAAAATACAAGTAAATACATTTTGAATATACAATAATTGCTTGTGTGGACATAATTGTTGGAGATAAATAAAAAAATTAAATGGAGTAAAGGCAGAAAATAAATATTGTTATATATTGTTTTGACCAGCCTTCGTCCTCTAACATCTGCAGCTTGTTATGCAGTGACTGTCTCTACCTCAGCTCTTTCTATGGCCTAAGAGGTTAGACTTTAAAATATTTATCCTCTTTCTGTGACACTGACCATCCCTCTAACTGTTTTATTGATGGGTGGCCAGATTATTGCCAAGGCCAAAGGTCAGCATGTACGTAGAAATTGTCAAGGGCCTGCCTTAGTTAATGGTTTCTATAATACAGGGTTAATTTAGTTAATGAAACCATTGCCTTACATTTACACTGGATTTAAATGGATTTTCTGATAAATGATTAAACCAAAATTAAAAATTACATTTTAACTTGTTTTTTCTACCTTTTTACTTATCTGTTTACATTTATGTATTTAAACCTTTATTTTGCACTACTCTCACAGTTTACATTATATATTTCATTTAAATTACATATTTGCATTACTCTTTATATCTCTATTTTATAGAATACCTTTTTAAACAGTTATACTACTTCTTCCTTGTGTTTGTTTTTTGTTTGGACGTTTTTTAAAACAAAACTCTCAGTGGGAACATTTCGTTGTAGCCAATCTCCCCCTGTTCAACTGATTTGAGTGGATACGTTTGAGCAAAATTGCGGTGTTTTGGCTCAAGGCAGCGCTCTCTTTTTTGTTTGCCTCACCAAAGTTTTTAGCTGGCTTCTGGGAAACTGAACAAATCTGAATGTCCTGTTTCCGTCAACCATGTGTTTCATTTTGACTACAAATGTGAATTACCTGCTATCATTAGCTCCTCGATATCATTAGCTCATTGACGTGCCTCATTCACTTTAACTGAAATCGAGTCAGACGGGGATCCAAATACAAGGATTTGATTGGCTGGTAAGCGTCACATGAGAAGAGGGACCGTGTGCTTTTACCGTAATAACTGGAGGAGTTGCACTCGGTCAAATAGAAACAAAATTGATCAAAGTTAATATAATATTTTATCACTTACATGTACTGGTCCGTACGGGACTGAGTCCAGGTCTACACACACTGCCTATTATTGACCTCAACTTACAAATAAATAAATAGATACAAAACAAAAAACAAACAAAAAAAAAACAAAACAAAACAAATACTCTGTGCGCCTCTGGTCACCCTGTCAATCATGAGGACGGACAGCTTTAGAAAGAAGGAGGTAGAGAGAGGTGACCTACACCTGCTCTCTCTCTCTCTCTCTCTCTCTCTCACCATGTACATTGATAATAAGATTATTGACAGATTCTAGGTTAAACAGTCGTTTAAACGAGTTCGACCAAAACTCCAACTTTTACTGTTGCTGCTCTACGAGACCGAGCAGTAGGAGCAGCAGGAGCAGCAGCAGCAGCAGCATAAAGTTAGAGCACCAGCAGCAGAAAGTTAGAAGTGCAGCAGCATCAGCGGCAGCAGCAGCAGCAGGACTTTTGAGTTCTGGAGATGCTCTGAGTCGAACACATCAGTCCACGGAATCCAAGGAGCTCGTTGTTCACAGGTAAAACTTTCTCTCACTCTTCATTTAATGTCATATTATATTCCTCTGGATTTAAAATGTATTTATTTATTTATTACTAATACATTTGGATTCAATCCGATCTAGAATATTGAAGGTTAAATCCGTAACTTCCAATTTCCAAGGTCCAATTTCTACATAACAAAAAAAACATAAAGTTTAATCATTTTTTAAAAAAAATATTATGTTTTATTTTATGTGAAAATCTTAAAGCGTTAGCTACCAAAGTGCATGAGTTGAGAGAACAAAAATGATCCAGAGGACTGTAACAGCGCTTACATGTCAGTTCTACCGAACCTTTTAAATGTCAGAGATATCGATGGGCTTTGATTATTCGATAGAAAGTTATTCCCAAAATGGTTAATACTTTCAATCGAACAATTAAGTTAAAAGTGTAACACCTTGATTGTTTACGTTGGTTACGTTCATATGCATAAGAAAAACCTAAACAAACAAAAAAAACTACTTTTTTTTCTTTGTAAATTTGTGCGCAGTCTATTTAATGGAAACTATCCGAGTATGTTTTTGAAGCTATTCAGGCCAATGATTATTACCATTCCCTTTTAAAGCTAATGCTCAAGCAGTGTGCAGTATAATAATAATAATAATAATAATAATAATAATAATAATAATAATAATAATAATAATAGAGCAGTGAAGTACAGAGTCCTGTGTCTGTGCAGGTATGGCTCAGGGACCGGTGTGTTCTGGATGCCAGCGGATCATCACGGACAGATTCCTGCTCAGAGTCACTGACAACCTCTGGCATGAGCAGTGCGTGCGATGCGCAGAGTGCGGGGACGAACTCACCGACTCCTGCTTTCTGCGGGACCAAAAACTGTACTGCAGACGGGACTATGCTGAGTGAGTTCCTCGGTCTAACCCTGTTCTCTGTGTTTCTTAGTGAATAATGTGGTGGAAGAAAGTGGAACAACTGCTAAATACATGCTTTGGTGAACGAACATCCAAATGTGGCACTTATTTTTATAAGCACGCGTTTTTATTTATTTCTCGTTTTTAAAAAAAAATTACTTCGTCCCATGACAGATTTGCTTTTGCTACATATCACACATCATCTCTGCCTGACAGTTAGCAGTTAACTGATTCACACAGGTTCGAATCCTTCTCATTCTGTTCAAACTTAATGTTGAATAGCTAAATATTTATTCTACATTATCCATCCACTATGAATCTGTATATTTGCATAGATGTATCTCAGTAACCACAATACTGTGCAAAAGTCTGAGGCCACTACATGATCCCTTGAATTTAACAATTAACTTATTAAAAGTTAAATGTTATAACTAAAAATATATAAAATGCTAGGACAAAAACAAGTTTAAAATAGATTAAAATAGAATGTAATTGTCATGCAGAGGATTAGTGCACATTGGAATTAAATTACGTTTTAACGTCTCAAAATGTCTCTCTAAAATGTATATTAAAATAATATGTCTAGATGTGCATACAGTACATATTAAACACAGAACAACTGGAATATTAACACGCTCATGTTAGGAGAGCATCATTTTTATATGATGGTGTTCACATGTATCTAACACTAATTATAGCACAACACTAGTCAGAAATTAGTCAATTTCTATCACTGTTTTCTTTAACAATTAAAAGTAAGTTTGTTGTGAAACTATGTGAATTAACTTACCTGTGTTTGTTTTTATAAGACAAATGTGTTTCTTCAATGCACTGTACATTCTGTGTTTTAGTTGTAGATGAAGTACACATATATTAATATATACATATATATGGTAAAATATATTGAGCAAATATTTACATCTTGCTTCTGATTAGACTTTTGATAAAGAATCTAGCTTATAATTTACACCTGACTTAAATGTTAGCAACTGGAGCTCGCACCCAAAATTGGTTTATATCAGAGTTAAATTAAGGGAACTGTCTTGGTTTCTTCTGCTCTGCAAAAATAGGCTTCTTGATGAGAGGTGAAAGGTCATTTAGAAACCAAGAAGGTCCAGTCTAGGTCCATGTCTGAACTACTCCAGATACTATAATGACCTGCTGACTGAGAACCTGCACAGTCAAAGTTTTTGCAGGTAGAAGTATTTTCATGTAGTTTCAAGTATTTGGCATTGACCCTCGTTTATTTAATCCTAGTTTTTGGCCTACTATAAGAAAGCTGTTGTGTGTTATTGTGGTTAGGGAACAATCACAACAGAACCTTTGTCCATTTATGACCTTGACTTAAGATATGTGTGTGTTTCTGCGGATGGAGGAGAGAACGAGTGAGAGAGAGTTAGACACAGAGAGAGAGAAAGGCAATAATAATGTCAGTAATAAATCCAATGTTGATCTATATATATATATATATAAATTAAATACATATATATTCATTCAGCAGGCTGATGTATGTATGTATGTGGTTCTATGTCATGCCGTTCGTGTGTAGTTTAAGTTGTTTCATGGGGAACTTGGCAACGACTGCAAAGAACAAGGTGACTGTAAGAGTGAAGGAAGGCAAGGGAGCTGCAATGTAACACCACTGCACACACACACACCACACACACACACACACACACCTACAGTACAAAAAACCAGGGGGAGAGCTCAACTGACACATTGTCAAAATGTGTTAAAATCTGGAGACTCGCTGGTGTGGCAACTGCAAGCTGGGGACAACATATGGTGCTGTAGACCAGGTACCCTCCTGTAACCCCCCATCACTACACACACCCTCCCAAAACTCCAGGCATCACCCAGTGCCCGACTATCTTCTCTCACCTCTTCCATTCTTTCTTCTTCCAAAACGTGCTCTCACCTAAAACAAGAGCCAAGACAAAACCTGTACAAGCTCTCAGGCAGTAGTTCCTGTTTTTTTTTTTTTTTTTTACCAACAGTTTAGTGATGGTAGTTCTGCCAGAGCAGCAGTGGTCCAAAATATGTGCCATGACCGAGTTCTCGCTCAATTAAAGTTACACTGCCGCAGCTCTGAGCCCACATGGTGCTCTTTGCAAGTACAGCGTTTGTCAGCAGTCAAACACTGTCATGTTGAATGGAGATCAAGCTGTCCTTCAAATATGAGATGGAGTTGTTGGATGACGGGGGATACCGAGAGTGGATGATTGAAGGAGCACTCCATTAGATGTGTTTACAGAATGATCAGCAGAGATGATCGGCCTTGGCCAGAGCACAGAGAGAGGAGCAGAACAGAGATAATTAGAAGAGTAGAACCATATGTCAGAGGGTCTGCTGCATCCTGACAACAGGGAGGCTGAGGATCGCATGAACTTATTTTGCGGGACAAGGCGCTCCATGAGCTCTGGCGTTATGTGCCGTGGCATCTGGATAGCTCCGCTCACAGCAGCCCCAGTGTGGACCGATGGGACAGTGCCCAGCCGACCATAAGATATCTGAACTGACCAATTAGCAGGAGGCCTGGTGCCAAAGTCCTACCTCTGAGTTTCTTTGAAGCCTCTGCCTAGAGAAATGGCAACGTATGCACCTTTGTTGCCCATGGTAGGGGTAATAAAAAAAAAATCAATTTTAATACAAATATTTATTCCGTAGGAGAACCAGTGCTGTTGGGATGTCTAGATTTCTATATGACAATGTGGGGAATTATTGACAGTGGACTAACCACCAGGCCTTAAGTTGGTGCAATATGCAAGAATTTATTAACCACTTAGTCTATTAATGGGGTCATAGCATACATGTCAATAATATCAAACTCAAGGAATGTAAAATAAGTAAAAGAAATTAGACAAACACTTTTAAGAATATATACATATAATAGTGTATATAATTAAATTCTATTAAATATGAATAAAAACAAATATGTTAACACAAAATCAATATAAGTCAGAAATGAAAACAAAAAATTACTCAATCATAAAATGGATGCCATTTCTACATGTTCCTATAAATGACTCATTTTAATAAAATGTATAACCTTAGGTCATTAATTATTTCATTCTTAAACTTAAATTCAATGTCTGCCTGGCCTAATCAATGTATTAAGATTTATATGAATATACTGATATTGATATATGTCGACAATATTTACAATACAATTCTCATAAATACGTATAAAAATGTGAATTTACTCTCTTGTTTTTCCAGTTTCATTAAGATGTAACGGTTCTGAAGAAATGGAACCGTACCATGTATAAAGTGTCTGTCCTGCTGTAGTGTTCCGTGCAGTGGAACAGGCAGCTGCAAACGTCTGACAGTGTGACGTCGGAGTCGGTCAGATTTGAACTGGATAAGTGGTTGAGCAGACAGGTGCGCTGGATAGAGGCTGGGTCATCAGATCAGTGATGTGACTAGTGGTGCAGTTGACCTGCAGACCATGGGCTAAGTAAGGGATCCAGGTTTAACTTGATCCAGAAACAGGAGCTGTACCTTTGCTTATCAGGCAGACCAGCAGTGTGTGTTTCTGACTGCTGTTGGTCAGCGCTGGAGTAGGGATAGGAACAATATGAGTGTGGATATGTACGTGCGTGTGTGTGTGTTTGCATGTGCTTGCATGTGAAGAAATTTATATTTACTGACTAGGCTATTCATGTAGTTTCTGGGGCAGGTTAACTAGGAAGGTTTGAGTACTGGAACTAGGTATAAACAAGGGCTTGGTCTGTGACAGGAAGGCCTGAAGTGTTAAAAATCATGTTATAAGAAAACACACGCTCATGGCAGGACGTTTTTATCAATAAATTTGAAAAGCTTTGTGTGGTTATGCTTCTGGTTAGTGATGGTTATGGTTAGTATGAGAGTCATTGGGTCTATGTGCAGGAATTCTGGACGTGTCTGGACCCAATTTGCTATTGTCACTGAATCCAGCGTGACTGAAGTTCCCGCTCTGGAGTCTTTAAACAAATCATGTCTGTGTAAACTCGGAAATATTAAACACTTTGAAAGTAAACGTTACTTCTAACTGAGCCTTACAGTAAAATAGATAAACTGGTTCTAAAAATATATAAATATTATATTATTATATTATTACATTATTGCCTCTAGTTTCCTCTCTCTTAGTATTAACGTTAGCATTGTAGCAACATTTTCCGACACATTTTCTATTGTTACCTTTTCTTGGAGCATATTTCATTGCATCCTGTGTCGCCACAGGAATGCACATACCGCAGACGGTATGTTGACCATAATAAAGTGCATACCACTGGGTCTGTGGGGCAGAAGACTCAGTTAGGTCCGACTGACCCTAGACCCTCAGCTTCTGGGAATGAGCTTCAGCGTATCCTTAGCGACCCCACAGCAACAGTAAGAGGTCTCAGAAATGTCCTGGGTGTTTGACAGGGACATCAGGACCCAGGTGTTTGCTTAGTGTTTGGCCTCAGGGTTTGTTTTTCCATTGTAAAGTATGTTACATTGTGTTGTGTCTAAGGAAAAGTGGAGATGCAGGACACTGCAGTCTATTTACATTGGATTGTATGTTTTCACAGACACTGGTCTTCAGTTCAGTCGACAACATTTTGATCTGACGACTGATCTCCATCAGATTTGAACTTTGTGTGGTTTCAGCTGACTGCTCAGGGGTTTCAGTTGATTAATCCAACCTCAAACATTTTTTAGGATCCTATAACTCAGCATTATTCACCCACATCTGTGTTTTGAGGTATAGACAGTGTTCTTTGGGGTATATTCTTCTCTGAGCACTGACAACCTCTGTACAGCCAAAGAGTTCCTGTTTTGACCAGGGTTCAAATGGATGCTTTAGTTTGCGTCACTATATTCATGATTATTGAGAGTGTAGACGTATCTTTCTGATACAATTTTTGAAATCGCATACTTTTTAAGATCACACCACCTGAATGTTATTATTTTTTACAGCATAATCATTTTACTCTTTGTGAAAAGTTATTTTTTCAGTATGCAAATAAAATGATGTAGTTGTACTTCAGCATATATAATCAACTCTGATTAAGTGAATAAATATAGCAGTAGAGCATATAAATACTGTATTATTTGATATGCTTGGTTACATTACTCAGCTCAAGGTACAGTGTTTTTAAAAGAAAGACAACGGTAACAAAAAAAAATGTATTCACTTTCTCATGCCTGTGTGCTGACTGCTTGGCTGACCCAGTCCAGTCTGGAGACAAATGCCAGCTTCAAATGATGACGCATCATTCGCATGACAGACACAAAATGCGGCGGTGCCAGCCAGTGGACAATGGTCCTGCTGCTTGGGGGTTGTCTCAGTCTTTGTCCTCCTCTGGTTAAGCAGACTTGGAGATAATTCCACGGATAATTCCTGGGCCCGGCGGCCCAGCCTCTCCCACCAGGAGATCTGGTTCCCCCCCTCTGCCTGGAGCCATGGCCTGCCGAGAGCTTTTTTCCTGCCTCCCCAGGAGCGCAGCCTCGGACATGGCAGCCGGAGCCACGGCAACAGTCTCTGAGGCTAAGCCCACCAGTGCTGGTTGCCAGGCGCTAAGATGCACACCGGCCATGCTTAGGGTATGTGGCCAAGGAAGAGGAGTAGGAGGAGGAAGAGGGGAAAAGTCAGGTTAGCAGCGGTTTTGAGCGACAGCTCGACTCAGCAACATTCCTCAAGTCCACCAGGCATTTTTTCATCTAATGGAGTACAATTTCACTGAGACGTGGGTTCTTAGGTGTTCATGTTTCATGTCTGGAACACCAAAAGCATCACATCCTGCTGTTAATAATCCTGTGTTATTCTCCCCCACCTCACCCCCTCCAGTCTGTTTGCAGTACGCTGTGGGGGCTGCTTGGAGGCCGTCTTCCCTGCAGAGTTGGTGATGCGTGTAGGAGCCACTGTGTTTCACCTGCGCTGCTTCACCTGCAGCGTTTGTTCCTGTAGCCTGCAGACCGGAGACCGCTGCATCCTCAGGGATGGACAGATACTGTGTGCCAGAGAAGACTACCACCAGGGTCTGACCAGTCCCACCTCATCTGAATCAAGTAAAAACTTTGTCATTATATTTAAAGATGTGCTGCTGTGTCTTTTTTAACATTAACACTTTTAAAACTCTTATATAATGTAGTAGCAGTATATTACTTTTGTTGACTACTCCTGGGCATCGAACATCAATCAACATTTGACACAGGATATAGTTATTATAGAAAAATCTGACACCTGGCAGCCAGTCAGTGGCACCTGAACTCACACAAAGATAAAAAGAAAGATCTCCAGATGCAGAGAACAAGGCTGCGAGGGCTGGAGTAAAAGTAACCAACTGACCTGACAACGAACAAAGAGCAGCTTTGTAACTCCTTGCAATACAATGTCTGTAAATTAATAAGAGTATTAAACACTTTTACAGCAGATGGCAAAATGAAATTACAGAGGGAGAGTTCAATTGGATTTCTATTTAATTTGGTAAATTGCTTGATGGTAAAAATAAAGTATTTATATATATATTTATATATATATATATATTCTTAACGTGTGTACCTTAAGGTAAAAGTGAGGATGAAGAGGAGGAAGAAGAGGGTGAGGAATCTACCAAAGTAAAAGGCAACCAGAACAGACCAGAAGACCTGGAAAGCAAACGACCTAAAAGACCTCGGACAATTCTGACGACTCAACAGAGACGAACTTTTAAAGCCTCCTTCGAAGTCTCATCCAAACCTTGCAGAAAGGTAGTGTTGACCATATATTTGTCCACTGCTAGGATCTAACCACTGTATTATTTTATATTACATATTATTCATAGTCATTATTCATAGTCATATCATCATAGTCTTACCTATAATATATAGTATATGCTTTGACCTTCACATGACCCTCCTTTAATTTTTAATTCCTGTTCTATTTCCTGTCTCTTCAATCTCACCTACAAGGTCAGGGAGACCTTGGCTGCAGAAACTGGGCTCAGCGTCCGGGTTGTTCAAGTCTGGTTCCAGAACCAAAGAGCCAAAGTAAAAGAGCACACATACATGCGCATACAAACACACACACACACTCACAGAGCCCTATGCACTAATAAAGAGACTCTTTTATGCCTGGATAGAAATCAGCCAGCATATCTTCTCATACAGGAAACTGATGACATCTCATTATGAGATTGGAGTAGATTAAAACTCACGTTTCCTCACAGCCTGGGCTCGTGTGTTTCCCTTCTGCGCTGAAAGACGTCCTTTAGCTCTCTGTTAATACTGAACACACTCAGACACCAGGGTGGCACAGGGACTGAGGATTGCTGTGACCTCTGCTGATGCTGATGCTGATTTTTTTTTTGTAGATGAAGAAACTGGCCAGGAGGCAGCAGCAGCAACAGGAGCAGCAGCAGCAACAGCAGCAGCAGCAGACTCAGGAACAGCATCAGCTTCAGACACATCATCCAGGTGATGCGCTACTCAAACGCTGAAGTAAATACAGAGAAGACATGGTTAAAATAAATAATTTCTAGGGTATTTCTGTCAGATAATTCTTGACAAATGTGCATTCTACAGTGTTTGTATTACAAAAACCTGCTTATCAAATTTTCTTTTTGTACCCCACAGTGCCCTCTGCTGGGGAATTAACTTCTAAAATGGAGCGTCTGGGGTTTTCTCACATTCAGCAGCAGCAGATGGGACTGACCTCACTGGAACCACAGGACTACGACATGGATCCCTACAGGCAGGGCCTGACCCCTCCTCAGATGCCAGGGGATCACATGCACCCCTATGGTAAAGATGTCAGCCATGCTGCTGTCAAACCACTAAGTAGAGTTATACAGGTTGTAGTAAATAGTACACTCTATCTGTGTAACTGGTCGGTTTCTCCACACAACAAATGGTCTCATATCAGGTGTGTTTATTTTTTTCCAGGGAGCAATCACAAAAATGCTGCATGAGAAGCAGATGTTTCAGCTGGGATTAGCCTTTAGCTAATATATCTAATGTATTATATTGAATATCCTCTGTAAGTGTTGACCATAAGTCTCTCATACTTAGCGATGAAGAACGATCCATTAGTGGAATTAACGAATTGAATCTTCTTCAGCGACTTCTGGTAGGAGTAACAAGTGAACATTGGTTCCGGTGTAAGAATAGAATACACGTCAATAAAACAGTTATCCTCAGTAAATGTAAAATAAAAATTATTTATCCCATCACACAATCTTTATAACAATTAACTACTTATTTATACTGTAGTATAAACTTATAAATGATCGATTTTACATTTTACAAATCAGTATTGTGTACTTATTTCTAACACATCTATAGAGTATGATTTGACCATAGACTGCAGATAAACGAGGACATGTTGGCTTAATACAAGACTTTAAAATATGGGTGTAAATTAAAGTACCTTTTTTGTCTGCGCTGGTTAAATGTGTGTTCCTGTGGTCTGATTATGCCATAACTTCTGTTCTAGATGTCTAGTTTATTCAGTTGAATTCATTAATTTACTCCTGACACTAATTAATAGTATTGTTGTTGTTTTGTTTGTTTTGCAGGCTTTAAAGACCTTTGTGGGGACATTGACCGCAGCCCTCTTTGTCACCTGACTGACAGTGACTGTCACTCTCTGAGTGGCTCCTCTCTACTGACTCCTATTGACTGTCTCTACTCCATGCAGGATTCTTATTTCACCTCTTGAGAGGGACCACTGGACTCAGTAATGGTCAGACTCTGGCGTTACACATCACTTTCTTGTCTCACGATTATCTTCTCATGGAAGCAGCTGCTGTGTTGGAGCCGTTACATTTTTCTTAGTGGAAATGTAGCAGCAGTAATCATTTATCTGTTTTGCCTTTGGCAGGATCTCAAAGTCAAGAACCACAAAGATAGCTGCTCTTAGCCACTTAGCAGGAGCTATGTGTAATTTCAATAAATGTAAACAAAGTGATAATTCAAATGCGTCTAGATGAAACATTTTCAGTTAATGTTTTCTCAGAAAAATAAAACAGCACTCTGTTGATATACACCAACATCTGAAATCACATCAAAGATATACTGAACAAAGCTTTTTTTTAAAAAATATTTTCTTAGTTTTTCATCAAATTATCTTAAGTCAGTATTGATTGATTCAGTACAACAATTCACAAAATCCCTAAATAGTATAAAAGGCACTAGCAGGTGCTCATGAACTGAGAACAGTTGAAACACAGAGATCAAACTTCCATCTAGGAAATCAAGACTTTTATGTTACAAAATAATATTGTGGGCAGAATTGTACCAAATCTGTAGTGATTAGGCTTCTAAATTGTACATCCTCCATGTGCATGTCTACGTAGTCATTATTAGAGAATAGGTTTTACATCTGCATCTGTGAATGTGAAGAACTGTTTGGGAGTGTATTTATTCTTACAACGTGTGCATGTTCATCCTGGATGAATCAGCGATGGTCAATAAATGATGTCATTATGCAGTAGATAGTGGGTTTTTTGAAGTGTTGAAACTGTGGAATTCAACCAGTGAAGGTTAGTCTGGGGTCAGTCCTTCCTTCTGGGTTTATCAGTCCCATCTTGGTGACGGGTCACTGAGGCATCTTCTCCTGGCTGTTGGGTGGATCATCAGATTGTAAAACGCAGGGCTGTGACAGCAGCATGGGTCAGTGGCAGGTGAGCATCACATCCACGCCGCCGTCATCAACGCTCACATTGTGCTCCTCGATGTCGAAAACCCTCGCTGCATTTTTCTGCCCTGGGGGACCACCCAGGCTCCGGGCCCAGCTGGAATGCTCCAGTCCAGGGAGAGTTTGAGAAAACCCAGGGCAGTGGTTCAAGACAGCGGAGCAACTGAAAGCTGTGTCGGGGGAGAATGCCCAGGGTGACACAGAGATATGAAGCCTCACTGTATGGTGTGCCTCCTTGCCCCAGCCGTGAACCCTCTGCTGGACCCGGCTCATATTTCCCACTATGAAATCAGACCTTGAAGAGCGATGGGTCCAAGTCAATGGTCAGGAACAATCTAACTGTCTGTCACTGGTATGCTGCTGGTATGCTCCTGCCAGGCCGAACTAAAAAAGTGTGCAGCAGAGTGTACTGTGTGTAAATCTGCCTGTGTATCTGTGTCGCTATCTGCTCTGCTGGCATGTGCATGTGTGTGTGCTCGTGTTAGGAGGAACAACTCTCTTTGTTGTAGTTTTATGTATCATAATGCACTTCCTTGTGCTTTCGGAGGTAGCCGAGCAAAGAGAGGAAAAAAAAAAACAGGGTAAAATATCAAGAAAGGGAGCCAAAGGGGTCACCTGCAGGGTCTCTCCCCCCCGTGTGTATTGAGCTGTGCAGTGTTGGCACAAACCTCAGATACTGTTGCCAACTGCAGTGGGTGGGATGAGAAAAAAAATCTAAACCATGATCATACGGTCACAGTGGGTAGCAATAACCTCATTATTATTCTAATGGTAGCCAAACAGTTTCCTGTCAACAGTTCGGTTATTTATTGCACCCTTCATGCCAACGGTGGGCCACACACCCTCTGTCTGTTTAACCACTATAATTGGCTTCATGCTGCTGCAGCTCAGCAGCAGATGTATACCTTTGCTGAAGATGCTCTAGCATTTCAGCATTTTCTTTTTTTGACGAGCTCTACAAGGAAGTCACATCAACATTTTTACCAGTACGACACAGTCAGGACAGATTAGGAGTGTTATGTGGTAAACAGTTTCAAATGCATTGCAGTAATCAAGGAATATTGCAGCTAGTTGATGTTTTTGTCATACTGAGGGGCGTGTAATATTTTTGGGTCATGACTGTACAAAACATAATATAATTAACCTTTTACTCATGATCTAAATTAGTCAAACTTTAAACCATGACCATACTCGTCCTCAGGATGTTGGATCAGGGCCAAGTGTGTCACATATTGACACTGTTGATCAATCACCGTCTCCACTGCTCAGTGACAGGAGAGTGTGCCAAACCTCAGTCACTTTAGTCTCTGACGTCCACTTTCCTAGCTGACCTCGCGGTTATGGTTAACATAAGTGGATCAGTGCAGGTAAGAACACCTGCTACAGAGTTCACAGAGAAGACCAGGTCTCCTTGTACTGTCACAGGTCAGTACATCGTGCTATAAATCAAAACCAAACCTGATTCTTATTATTGTACATGTTTAAAGTGCAGGAGTGATCGAGCATGAGTTCAAAAAATAAATACAGAATGATAATTTAATTGCTACATTAAAATGTATTATATATTTTGCTATAAATGTCTGTGTTAGAAATAGAACATTGGCTGATGGAGTGGAACAGTGATGTGTTTCCTGCCTGCCCTGTAGAAAGTTAAGGGTTTAATTCCACTTGGTTTCTGAACATGTGAGGGTTGTTAGGGCTGTCTGTGTTTCCCCTTCCTGTCTTCTCTGCTGGGTGGAGTAATCAGTGTGATCACACTCACCTGTGTCTCTGTGATCAGTCTCACTGGTGTCACCTGGTGCCCTGGGTACACAGTATACACCTCTATCCCTCACTCTGTCTGGGTTGGACCATTGTTCTGTCTGTTTGTGTGACTCAGTCCAAGGGGTTTGAGAAGTCCAGGAGTTTTTGAGAAGGTCCATGATGTTTGGTGAAGAACCTGCCTGTGTTCAGTGTGTTATGCCTGAGAGACATTGTTGTTCTTCCACGCTGTTTGGAAATGAGCGTGCCTGTAATCGATGCTTCATTGCTTTGCATTTTAATGGTTGCACTGTAAATAAATCACCTGCTGCACCTGAAGATTCTCCTTAGTGCTGCAGTTGGGTCCGACGTGCTGCATGCCTTGCCCACACGTAACAAGATGCCACCTCGGGAAATGACAGACTGTTTCAGACCTCTTTCATGAACCCCAAAGTATTTTTCTTCAATATCAGAGCACAGTCACCTCCTTTATATGGGATCAATGTGTTTTTACGTGACAACATAAGCTGCAAACTAACTTCTTTGTGTGTTTGAATGTTATTTAAACCCTGAGGGCTCCCATGAGGAGGTGAACATTAGTTAGATTAACCAGACCACCGGACTATGCTAGTGCTGAACATTGTACCTTAGTAAACATCAAAGCTGTTTTTTTAAGTTATTGCATTTATTACTGAAATAGCATTAATCAGTAGCATTTACAATTGCTGCATTTTACAAGTGGGACAAAAAGTTTACGACTCAAAAGCTGGGTTCCAGTGTTCCTCATAAAGAGGAGCAGCCATTATTAAGGCTCCTGCAACGACAGAAAGAAAGATACAGGGTAATCAGAGGGGGTCAGTGCACTGTGGGTTTTATTATATGATTATATCATGACCACTGTGATTCAAGGCTATGCAGTGAGAGACCAGACAAAACAAAAAGAACAAGTTGAGTGAGTGACATCAACCTGTACAGTTGGAGTAAGACTAGCTGTGAACAACAAACTTTGAAAAAATTGGAGACAAAGGACAAAACAGCAAAAGTCCATAGAGTAAATGGGGAAAAAAAGATTTTGCTTGCTGATTGGATTGGTATTTTCTGCATGCAGTTCAGAGAGAAAGAGAGGGAGAGATTTTGTGTGTGTATTTGTATCTTTGCGTGGACCATGCATGTGTGAATAATTACATACAACTCTCACCTTTGCTCTTAAATCTTGTAAAAATGAACACAGCCAGTCCTACTAGAAAAAGAAAAATTGGAACACTAATATAGAGTACCCTGAATCCAGTGGAAAAAAATATGGCACCAGCCACTGGTGAATCATCTGTGGCAGAAAAAAAACTGAAATCAATATGACACTCCTATGACAGCCTAATAATCAATATATATATGAAACAATTTTAAGGTTGAAACTCATTTGAAAAAGCAAACATACCTAAGCATTTGGGCAGAGTGTCACTCCAAACTCCAGTGGAGGTGCAAAGCAGCCCCCCACTGCCATTCATGGAGAATCCATCATCACAGCTGAGAAGGCAGTAGGAGGCAAAGCTGAAATTACCCAGAGGGTGGGTGCAGTTCATAGACATGGGCAGACTTGTGGTGTTGATGGCCTCACACTGCACCACTTAAAAGAGCAGGGTTGGTAAACACACTTAAAAAAACAGATAAATAAAATATTTTTTTCTTTACAACAAACTCACGTTGGCAGGTGGGTAGATCCTGACTCCAGTTTCCTGAGGAGTTACATGTAACAGTTGGTGTCCCTATCAACAAGAAACCCTCAGAACATTCAAAGTTACAGTGGGATTCATAACTGAAATCGGAGTGTGGATGGCTGCAGTTCATCCTCCCACGGTGTGGAGCCTTGGCCAGTAGGGGGCATGGTCGGGCTGTAAATAACGACAGACGTGAAGAGGCCGCAGAAAAGACAGAACTAGAAGGAATTGTGGAACAGAGACACATGTATGGACCTGGGGTTCTGTAAAATATACATATGACACACATACAACCTCCTATTATACTACATAAATACTTGTAGTACTAGGATGGAGTATTTTACCCTTGCATTTGGCTTTTTTACGGCTCCATTTGCCCGCAGACGTGCACTCAGTGTCAGCACGACCATTCAGTTGAAAGCCATCATCACAGGATGATGTGCAACGAGAAGCAAAACTGAACTCTCCGTGAGGATCGGAGCAGAGCAGAGAGCCATGAGGGGGAGAGTCCAGACGTGGACATGTCTTCACTGGAAGACAAAGACAAACAGATGGTACTAACTGTAACTACTCTCCCTGCTGACATTGACAAACAAGTACTACTGTAGCCACATGTTACCCAGGCAGTTAGGAGTGTCTGCGCTCCATTGGCCTGTAGACGTGCACTGAGTTGTCCTTGTCCCATTCAGCAGAAAGCCCTCGTCACAGGTGGACGTGCAGTGGGATTGAAAACTGAAGTTTCCATAGGGGTGGGAGCAGAATAAGGAGCCATGAACTGGAGAGGTCAACGTGAGACATCTCTTAGCTGGACATGAAGAAGGGAGAGAGAGGAAGAGAGAGAGAGAGACATTAATGTTTGACAGATTACTGTGGGACAAGTGGTGTCAAAGTACTAATCAAATTGTTGGTTATGTTATGTTCATGTTCTGGTGAACCATCAGGATTTTCATCATGGTGGTTCAGTCTTCAAATCTAAAGAAGAGCATCAGACCTCTTCTTTAGATTTGAAGACTGAACCACCATGATGAAAATGCTGCTGTGGTCACGTTGACAAACAACTCAGTGGTGTTTCACACACTTTGTTCATTCTATGTCAGTCATTAAAACAGCAATTTGTACAAGTCAGTACTGGAAGGATTAACTTAATAAGGTGATAGTGATCTTTTTGTTTTACCAGTGCAGGATGGGACATCAGAGCTCCACGTGCCCAGAGAGGTGCACTCTGTGTCAGCTGTGCCCTTCAGGAGAAAACCCTCGTCACAGGTGGACGTGCACCGAGACCCAAAACTGAACTGTCCATGAGGAGTGGAGCAGGTTAGAGTGCCATTTACAGGAGAAGTCAGAGAGAGACATCTCTTAGCTGGAGGAGAAGAAACAAGTGGGTCAAGATTAGAGAGTTGGTCTGGAACCAACCAATCAATAAAGAGAACATGACGTGATTAGAGGAGAACAGATCCAAACAGACATGATTCTGATCAGACTGTTGAAGTGGTTGTACCCTGGCAGACAGGAAGTGTGTGGGTCCAGTTGCCCCTCGAAGAGCATTTTGTCACGTTTGAGCCAATCAGATCAAATCCCTCCTCACATTCTGTGGTGCATGTGGATCCATAGCTGTTCTCTGCTATAGGATCCTGACACTGCAGGGCCGCAGCATGAGGAGGAGGCTGGAGGCTGCTGCACTGGACCACTATGGAGGAGAACAGATGCTGATGAGACATCATTTTGTCTTCCCCACTGTCCCCACAGTGCCTTCTGACTGTCATATATTCAGGTTGATTGGCTCTGCTCTGTGTTGTAAATATTATTTCAAATCATACCTATAAATACACCATATATCCCTCATTTTTACAGGGTTTTTTGATGGGACTGATGGGCGGCCTATAACTGAAGACAGACGTGAAGAGGCCGCAGAAAAGACAGAACTAGAAGAAATTGTGGAACAGAGACACATGTATGGACCTGGGGTTCTGTAAAATATACATTTGAACACATACAACCTCAAGTTATACTATATAAATACATGTAGTACCAGGATGGAGTATTAGGCTCCTTTTACCCAAAGATCAAAGACAAACAGATGGTACTAACTGTAACTACTCTCCCTGCTGACATTGACAAACAAGTACTACTGTAGCCACATGTTACCCAGGCAGTTAGGAGTGTCTGCGCTCCATTGGCCTGTAGACGTGCACTGAGTTGTCCTTGTCCCATTCAGCAGAAAGCCCTCGTCACAGGTGGACGTGCAGTGGGATTGAAAACTGAAGTTTCCATAGGGGTGGGAGCAGAATAAGGAGCCATGAACTGGAGAGGTCAACGTGAGACATCTCTTAGCTGGACATGAAGAAGGGAGAGAGAGGAAGAGAGAGAGAGAGACATTAATGTTTGACAGATTACTGTGGGACAAATGCTATAAATAGAAATGAGCAGATCAGAGGGACAGTTAAGGTGGAACAGTTTGGAGATAAAGTTGGAGAGTTGAGGTGGAGATGGTCGGTTGAGGAGAACAGTGAATATGTTGGACAAAGGATGTTTTTGTTAGAGATGTAGACTTGTTGATGTCATAGAAGAGGACATGGAGATAGTTGGTGTAAAAGCTGACAAGACAGGGGACAGGATGAGACAGACGATATACTTGGAATGATAATACATTGTTTTACCAGTGCAGGATGGGACATCAGAGCTCCACGTGCCCAGAGAGGTGCACTCTGTGTCAGCTGTGCCCTTCAGGAGAAAACCCTCGTCACAGGTGGACGTGCACCGAGACCCAAAACTGAACTGTCCATGAGGAGTGGAGCAGGTTAGAGTGCCATTTACAGGAGAAGTCAGAGAGAGACATCTCTTAGCTGGAGGAGAAGAAACAAGTGGGTCAAGATTAGAGAGTTGGTCTGGAACCAACCAATCAATAAAGAGAACATGACGTGATTAGAGGAGAACAGATCCAAACAGACATGATTCTGATCAGACTGTTGAAGTGGTTGTACCCTGGCAGACAGGAAGTGTGTGGGTCCAGTTGCCCCTCGAAGAGCATTTTGTCACGTTTGAGCCAATCAGATCAAATCCCTCCTCACATTCTGTGGTGCATGTGGATCCATAGCTGTTCTCTGCTATAGGATCCTGACACTGCAGGGCCGCAGCATGAGGAGGAGGCTGGAGGCTGCTGCACTGGACCACTATGGAGGAGAACAGATGCTGTAGTTGGTCGGCTCCTGGTCTCCCTCCTCTCACCTTTCCCTCACTGTCCCCATATTTATATTATATTTTATTAAATATTGAAATCAAATGTCAACATTAAACATATAACGGCCAACAAGTACGATGTGATTTGGGAATTGAAGTGTAGACAGGGTTGGCCTGTCACTGATGTGACTCACTGACTTCAGTCTGCACGAGATGTGAGTACACACTAAGATAAGAGCTGGTTATAACTCCATAAACACTGGCTGAGCAACTCAGAAAGGAAGTTGCATTCAAAAAGTGTTCAATAGTGCCACAGAAAAGAACTGTTGCCTTTGGCAGAAGGTACAGGTAACAGTAAATTACCTCGTGTTCCTTTGTTGGAACATGAGGTAATTTACTGTAATGTTTTTATTTTTCCAAATTAGTAAAAATAGGGACTTGATTGTATTTATAACAATTATGATATAAAGTGATTTAAATAATAATCCAAGCAACTAATTAAATAAAACAACTGCATGAATTTTGCACGAATGTATAAAATTTTCTCCTTTTAAAATTAAAATTTAAAATTAAGTTAAATTAAATTATTATTATTATATTATTAATTAAGAATATTTTATTACTAAAATACCTGAAATTTAAAAAGTAACATATCAATAAAACTGCTTCATTTATCATCAAGTACCAATTCTTGTACATTTTCCATCAGTATTCATGTTGGTGTCACATAGTGAGACTCAAAAACCCACTTCACCTTCACATGTTGGGACACTGGCCGTCCACCAGCCGGTATGATCACAACGTATCTGTCCCTCTCCGCTGAGCTCATGGCCTTCATCACAGATGACCTCACAGGTGGAGTTGTAACTATATGGTGCAATGGGGTGACTGCAATTGAGACGTCCTCTGCTGGTGTTGGTGTTGTCCAACACAGGACACTGTACGGCTACAAAAAGAGTACAGTTCATGAATTAAATACTTAATTAATTAAATAATTCATATATTGACATAATACTTTTCTGCCTTTTTAATTGATTGTGGTCTAACCTTGACACAGAGGAGCCGTGTGGTCCCAGTGTTCTGTGTCTTGGCAGAACACTTGAGGTGCCCCCACCAGATGAAAGCCAAGATCACAGAAGAAATAGCAAGAAGACTTGAAACGATAAGATCCATGGGGGTGGAAACAGTCATGAAAACCATTTTCTGGGTCCGCCAGAGGTTCGCATGAGATTGCTAAAAACAACACATTTTCAAATTCAATTCAAAAGATAAAGAGGTCATAATTGGTATATTTTCTTATCTCACCGTCGTCACAGCGTGGTCCAAAAAAACCAGGATGGCACTGGCAGGTATAGTTCCCTACGGTCTCCACACAGGCTGCGTAGACACTGCAGGAGTCCTGTTTACAAGAAGCTTTGAAGAAAATAAAGGGTCAAGTGCCAAAAGAGTCATTTCTTGTGTAAGTCAATGTGAATCTGGAGTAACTTACCAGAGTAACAAACTGTTCCCTTCCTAGAATTACACTTCTCGTTGTTCCACCTGGCCGTGTCTTTATCTCTCTTGATGTAAATCTCCACACAGTCCTGATCCGGAATGTCATCTGGCTCCCCTTCAGCCCAGTTCTGAAAAGCTTCTGGCACTGTCTCATTTGTGTCCTCCCAGGTCCACACTCCACTAGTAACCCTACTAATGCCAATCCAGTAATATTTTGTGTGAAGCGGCAGCAGTTCGTTGATGAAGTCAGTCTCTTCTTGGCTGTGAATGCTGACAATGTCTGTGAAGTGGTTCCGGCACCACTGACGGGCCTGAGTCCACCTTTGGTTCGGACTGGTGCTGTAGTTGTAGGTCCATGCCTGTGCTGTGCGCTGGTCTGACAAAAGAGCACATATACAGTGTGAAGGGTTACATTTAAATGTATACTAGTGAAGCTACGATGTGTGCCAACTTACCTTGGAAAAACACAAGCATGGCCGCCATCAACACCTTCTGACAGATGTGTCCAACGTGAAGTGACTTCTGAAACATCTGATATAAAAAAAGTTGACTTTTTATTTAAATTGCACACAGATTGGAATGAACACGGGAGTGAAAATCATCAACAGAACTTACCATGCAATCGTCCACCGATAACTAAGTGCTATTGTTACATTTATTCTATGATGAGTAATATCAATTTCACCAGTACTTCCTGCCCGATAGACACCACCCATAACAGAAAGGAAGCACGCACACACACACACAGGGAGAGAGAGAGAGACAGAGATAGTGATAGCGTCACGCACACACACACACAGGGAGAGAGACAGAGATAGTGATAGCGCGAGCAAGCAAGAGACTGAATGTCATATGGCCTTTAATTTGATTATGCCCTACTCTTAAATAATTATATAATTAAATAATTATATAATTAAATAATTAATTTACCATTAAAAACTATTCAGAAATAAACTATATTCACTAAAAGTAAATATAGGTATTTTCATTTGTCTTTTTAACAGAGACTTGTGACTTGCGCACAGTGACTTGCAAAATGATGCATGACCATGAAAATAAAGCTTTCACCATAATGTTGACATGTATAACTGTGTTATTTGGTGACAATGTGATTGATGTAAGTGACTACACTTGGGTTAGCTCTGTTTCCCACTGAGACAAACAAGAGTCCACCGCTCCTTTATCCATGCATTGCAGTGACAAAGGCAAAACAAAAAGTTACACTCACAATTGTGCAACAGCGGGTGTTGCTGCTTTGGACAAATGTCTGTGACAAAGTTTCAACACTGTGCTTAGAAATCAACGGACAAACGAGAACAACTGTCCTTTGGTAAAGTCAGTGATGCAATGAGGTTGCATCGTGTGTCGTATTTCAGCCAAATGTATCCTTCCTTTATTCTGCAGTGGCTGCAAGTATTTTCCTCTGCAAAAACAACAACCTTTGGAATCTCTGGAAGCCATTGGTCTGTCAGCGAGAAACCTAGGCTAATAGTTTGATAAAATGTCTTCTTTCCCCGTTGGCAGCTGCAATCTCTGTTATGGTACTGTTATGTAAGAGTGCACATGTGTGTATTCTATTGTTCATCACTCTATCTGGGTCAAAGTAAGTGCTGTGATCAGCATTAAACCTGGACCTCTGACTTAAGGAAACAGGGGAAACAGATGAAGACTTAGAGACCAAGTCAAACCTATGTCACTGTAATGACCCCGCTGGTCAGGGTCAAAAGGTCACAGTGAGTTTTAGAAAAATGGTGCATTAAATTATAATTA